CCTTCGCTTCATAATTTGCTTAGCAAATGAATCGATTAGAGCGTCAGGAACGGTCGTCCATTTGTGGGCGGGCGTGGCGGGCGTTTGGGTCGTAATGTTGTGGCTTGATAGGGCCCTTATAAGGGCACCTCCCTTGGAAAAGGCATTATGCAGCGCCTGCTCAGGGTCGCGGAATTCCGTCCTGCCAGGCGTATTGATCCTAGTCGTCTTGCGGGATTTATCGTGCCAACTGCCTTTAATATGATGCCTTTAGCCAGAGCAGTACAGTTCCAGAGTACTCCCGCCGTTAGGGAACTTTTTGCAAAATACTCTGGTACGGAACCTCTTCCCCATCCCTCATCCTACCCAGCATCTTCGTGAATCCTACCAACTTTCTGCCGCTTTTCCAAGAAATTCTCTAGTTTTTCCCTAAAATGCTGCCGTCAATCGAGAGGCGCATTTGGAACAGGAAAGACGCGAAAAGTTAGCAATCGAGAGCATTTTCCATTTTTCTTTTTCTCAGAGGCAAACGCGACTCGCATTCCCTCCAGCGCCCAAACACCACCCCTCTCGCTGAGGAGCCCTGATGTAGGACGAGCCTGCACAACTGATATCATCCCAATCAGTTGGGGCGATTTCAAGAGGGATGAGTTGATGCCACCCGTGGCGTTTTACCCATTGGTATTTTCTTCCGATCGAATAGCTCACTAACCGATCATCATTGGTAGTGGAGGAAGGATCTTTTTCCCTTCTTACCCGCCTTGACTGATTGCGACGATAACAGCTATACCTTCACTTTACTCCAACGAATCTGAAGCCTGTTTTTTTTCACCTAAGTGTGATTCGCTTGACGATGGGTAATGGCTAGGCTGTAAAAATGCTGAAGAAGGACCTCATAATGGGCTTGTCCTGCGCTATTGATGGATCGCCAATATTTTCCTTATGGTATGTCTTTGACTTTTACAGGTCACTACTGCCACTGCAGCAGCAGGCTTACCTACCAACGTATTATTCTGTAACAAAAAGCAGTAGTAGTTCTAAGCGAAGCCCCCTTGAGAGGCCCCCGCGTTGGGAAGGACCTGCGATGGACATGGACCAGTCGGCTCGAAGGCTGACGCCGGCGCGCCTCCTCTGTGATACGGCCCGGCTTCGCCGCGCTTACCTTCTTCCACATGTTTATATACCCAACTGATATGCGGCTTTTCTTTTATCTGAACAGATAACCAACGCTCCTTCACCAATAACATCATATTTTCAACACTATTACTGTGCATGACATTATGGTAAGGAGCATTGATGAAGTGCAGAGATGACAGAAAGCCGGGTATCAGTCGTGCATTTAAACGTACGAAAGCAGGTAGGGTAGACGAAGCCACGCCCGCCCGGCAAGGCCGGGCCGTTTCACAGAGGAGGCGCGCCGGCGTCAGCCGGCGAGCCGACTGGTATCTAATGCATTTACGACGACCGGTGGTTAAGTGCATGGCTGCCGGTGCACTGAAGCTCAGTAAAAGTAGGCAGCTCTGCTTGAAGGCACGCACAGCCCACTGTGGACGGGTCTCTATACACCACAGACGCACTCAACCTTCGCTGTATGTTTCTTTTCTCCAACGACTTTGTAATCCCTAAAGTC